TGCAAAGTGTTGGGCAACCGGACAACCTGGAAGTTACTTGGGATGGAATAGTACCCCATCCAGGGTGGATACCGATGCTCCCGTCACTGCCAACCTGATAAGCCAGCTAGGCTTGCGAAAAAATGTAGGAGTTGATGTTTTCAGTTTTACTCAGTTAGTGTTGCAAGGATAAACTTAGAATTGATAATTAGTTTTGGGAAGTGCAACACTGCTTTAAAAGTAATAAAATGAATTTTTTTAACTGCTTCGAGAAACGTTCGCTGTTGTAATGTTGTATATTCTCCCATATCACAAGTAACCCGTCGCGCATCAAAACATTATTTGTGTTGTTGTTAATGGTTGACTGACTCTTCTACTATGAAATTTGCATTCGAGCAAAACAAGAAGACGTGCGCATTGGATGGTTTTTCCGGTTTCAAGCATATAATTCGCCTCAGGGAAGATATAGAGGCTCGGTCCACACTAAGCCGGAGGAATTTGAAAACGGAGCTTTGTTTCCTCTGCTAGGCCTACCGTTTACCCAAATCCGTCGCGAAAACGGAACTTTTCGAAAACGCTCTTGAAACCGGAGGAATTTGAAAACGGCGGTGTTTCGTTTTCGTGTGAACTGACAACATTTCAAAAACGGAGCTTTTCAACAACGATGACGACGCGATGGTCATGTGATTTCTTTGACCGTGTTTTCTTCAAACACAAATCCCAAATGACGGCTGATTTTTGCCTTTTTAGATTCCTCTGGCCTAGTGTGGACGAAAAACGTTTGATGCGTTTTCAGAGTGAAACCTCCGTTTTCAAATTCCTCCGGCGTAGTAGTGACGGTGCCAGAGACAAGAGAACGGTTTTGGCTCAACCGAGCTAGATCGTGTTGATTGCGGAGTAAGATTGGTTCATCTGTAGGAAATGAAGGGAAAATCCAGTTTTCAACCTATCAAATCTGGTTTAAGCTGAAAAGAAAGAATTGTCACTGTAGGCGTGAGATATTGAGAAGTGCAAAGTTGTTTTGAAAACACTGTCAAGGCACTAACCTTGATGTTCTCTTGTTAACTTGAAGTTGGTAACCATGTTGTCTTGATAGACGTGTGTTCGTGAGTTTCAAGTTATGGCGATTTTAAGACTAATTACTCTTCTACCTTCTCAAGTAATGAAGAATGATGCTAAAATTAAAACGACACAAAATTGAATGGGCATGGGCAGCCCTCTGACATAACGACACAATCGCTTATCTCGGTAATGTGAACATCGACATAAAGGCGTAAGGAAAATATCAGTTGTTTTTTTGTTACGTTGTTGTGTTCTTGCAGTTATGTTGCTATTATGTCATTATGTCAGGATGTTCACACTGCAAACATAACGACATAACGTCCTGATGTCGTCATGTTTATGTCGTTATGTCGCTAGTATGAACGAGGCCTAATTGATTTGTTTTCACTCTCGTTTCATTTTTTTAAATCTGGTTTTGCTGAGAGAAAAAGAAAGCCGGTTTCAAAAACGGCTCGACCAGGTTACTTTTCAACCTGAGTAGAAGCATTCATTTATTTGTAACTTGTCCTTGGATTGCTTACTT